GGGTGTTTCCAAAGTAGAGGTTCTCGGAGTTGCTCTATATGCCCATAGAACTTTTGGGAGATCATAAGCCCAATTGCCCTTGGGTACATCAAGCTTGGCCTTCAATGTGTGCTTGATAGTCTTGTTGACAGCTTCAACTTGACCATTAGCTTGCGGTCTTGCTACTGAGGCGAATTTCTTATGAATCCCCATATTTTCACAAAACTGCTTGAATTCCTTATTATCAAACTGTTTTCCATTATCAGAGATGAGTGTATGAGGAATCCCATAGCGACACACTATATTCTTGAAGACGAAGTCTTTGAGCATTTTTATAGTGATCGCGGTCGAAGGCTCTGCTTTGACCCACTCAGTGAAATAATCCACTACGACCATTACATATTTGATGCCACCTTTATTAGTTAGCATGGGTCTGATGAGATCAATTCCCCACATAGAGAATGGCCAAACACTAGTCATCGTCGTTAATTGGTAGGAAGGAGCTCGTGGGATGTTCGCGAGTCTTTGGCATTTATCACACTTCTTAACAAAGTTGAAGGCATCTTCATGAAGTAGGGGCCAATAATATCCCTGGTGGATAATTTTATTGGCGAGAGATCGTGTAGCAATGTGATTACCACAGATTCTTCATGTATCTCTCTCATGATATAGTCTGCTTCATCATCCGTTACACATTGGAGGAGGGGAGTGCTAAACCCTCGCTTATACAACTGATCTCTGATGAGAGTATAACGAGCAACTCTACTTTGCATGAGTCTTGTTGTTAGGAAGAACCCCATCTCTGAGATACTAAATAATCGGAGTCATCTAGGAAACAGATTCAGTTGCAGCTATGACCTGATTAGGTGAGCTAATGCTGGAAGCTTCGATGTACTTAATTAGAATACTGTCCGAAGCATCGAAGTCTAGCGATGAGGCTATCTTTGCCAAAGCATCCGCTATAGAATTACTATCTCTCGGGATTTGCCTAATCATATAATGCTTGAAGGGCTTAAGTGCGGCCTTGGCTTTCTTCAAGTAACTGATCATATTCTCTTCTTTGGCTTGATACTCTCATAAAATCTGATTGACAACCAGCTGGAAGTCACTATTAATGTCGATCATATCTGATCCCACTTCTCTTGCTAATCGCAGACTAGTAAATATCGCTTCATATTCAGTCTCATTATTCATAGCTTTGATTCCAAACTTGATAGCTCCATAAATGCAAGTTCCCTCAGGGCTGATGAACAGAAGACCAACTCGGGCTCTTCTCCTGTTCGGGCTCTTCTCCTATTCGAAGACCCATCAATATAAAGACTCCAAGTTAACAAGTTCCAAACAGTTTCCTAGATAATTTCACTGGCTGACTGTTTGAATTCATGATCTGGCTGATGAGAGAACTCCGAAATAAAGTTAGCAGCAACCTATCCTTTAATTGTTGTTTTCAGTATGTAATGTAGATCGAATTGACTCAATTCCATAGTCCACTTAAGCAACTTACCTGAAGCCTTTGGCTTCTGAAGAACCTGCTTGAGTGGGTAGTTGGTTAAAACATGGATGGTGTGGGCACGAAAGTAAGGTCACAGCTTCCTGGAAGTGATCAATAGGGCATACGCTAATTGTTTCATCTCTAGATACTAAGTCTCGATGTCCAGCAATCGTTTGCTTGTGTAATACATTGGCTACTAAATTATGCCTTTTCCCGAATGAGAGCTATGCTAACCGCATGTCGAGAGATGAATAGGTAGAGAAATAAGATTTCCTTGGGAAGGGGCTTAGACAGAAGAGGTGGCTTTCTGAGATGCTTTTTTATGCTCTGGAAGGCTCACTCACACTCTGAAGTCCATTCAAATCTTTTCTTGGCCTTGAGTATATTGAAGAATGACAAACAACGATCTGTTGCTCTCGATATAAAGCGACTGAGAGCTGATATTCTCCTATTCAAGTTTTGCACTTGCTTTCGATTAGTGAGACTTTTCATATCTAGGAGAGCTTGGGTCTTCTCGAGGCTGAATTTAATTCCCTGATGGTTAACCATATACCCCAGAAATTTCCCTGAGTATACTCCGAAGGAACACTCAAGAGGATTAAGTTTCATTCTATATCTCCAAAGTATGTCGAACATTTCTGTTGAAGTGTATAATTCTATATTAGGATATTAGGATTGTAATCGATATATAATAAGAACAAAATCTGTAAAATAGGAAGTCAGATTATATATTTCCTAGATTAGTTCTTTATTTTTCTATGTATTGATGTATTATTTTTCTGATCATTATACAAGATAAAAACATACTATTAGTTCTCTCTAATTTTTCACATGGTATTAGAGCTAGATTGTCAGAATTTTTTTTTTTTTGGTGACAATTAAGCGTCTTTCTCTGATGGTCAGAACCTCTATTTAACCATACACGTCTCATCGTCTCCATCTCGCCGGTAGAACCTCACAAAGATCAACGTCATCAGTCACTGCACGCGCCTCCTCACGTGATGTTTCTTTCCGATAAATCCAACTCTGATCTCCTTTTTCGGTGAGTGTCAGTTCTCACCGTTGACACTAGCTTGCTCAGAAGACGACCATGAGCAAAACCCACGAAGGTTTTACTGCCTTCGACGTCAAACTCTGACAGCTTCACCAGATTCCGCCGCTATCCTCGCCAGATCTTTTGCTTCGATCTATTTGTTTGCTTCATGTTACCTCTGGTTCTACTTTCCAGCCAGATTTGCTAGTTATCATGGTTACTTCCAACTCAAACTCCACTTCTAGTGGTTTTTCTTTCTTGTCTCTCCCACTAATCACCACTGATAAGTTGATTGGGAGTGCGAATTATTCTTCTTGGGTTGCCTTTGTCAAGTTATGGTGTACGGGTCAAGGTCTGGAGGATCACTTGACCATAAAGGCTACTGACATCACATCAGATAAGTCTCTTGGGATCAAAACTAAGGCTTTATTGTGTAATCTATTATGGCAGTCAATTGACACTAATCTGCATCCCATTTACAAAACATACCGCACATGTTGTGAGATATGGAGTCAAGCAAAACTACTATATACCAATGATATTCAACGCTAGTATTCTGTTGTGTCCAATCTCATTCATCTAAAACAATAGGATATAAGTATGTCAGATTTTCTTGGTAAGATGACCTTCCTTAAGGCAAAGTACAATTTTCTCCTACTCGTTGGTGAATTTGCTATAGATGATCTAGCACAATGAGATAAATTCTTCATGGTTCTAACCCTTGCTATTGTTAGTCCTAATCTCACTCTTGTACGAGATCAGATTTTAGTTAGCACTACTGTGCCATCTCTTGATGAAGTATTTGCTTGGCTACTTTGGGTTTCATCCCCAGTTCCATTACTGTTGACTCTTTTGCTCTGGCTTCTTAGTCTCAAACTACTTATAAAGGAAAATAGGGAGATCGTGGTCGAAGCGGACAACCCAAGTGTAGTTATTGTCATCGTTGGGGGCATACCAAGGAAAAGTGTTACAAATTACATGGTCGCCCTACTCGGACCGCTAATGTTGCTTAGGCTGAAGGACACACTCGACCATCATTAACTCTCACTGGGGCTGATTGTGAAGAATACCTCTAGTTTCAGGCAAATAAGTAGTCTTCTTCATCTATTGCCTTTATCGCTCAATCGAGGTAATTCAGTTGCATGCGTTACTCAGTCTTCTTCTCTTGGACCTTGGCTTCTTGACTTGGGTGCCTCTGATCAAATTTCAGGTAACCCTTACTTACTTTTTCATTTAACTAATGTTACATCTTTACCATCCGTTACTTTAGCCAATGGCTCCAAAGCTGTTGTTAAAGATGTAGGTCATGCCAAACTACTTCCATCCTCAAAATTAGACTTTGTTTTCTATATTCCCAATTGTCTATTTAATCTTGTCCCTGTTAGTAAACTTACCCGCTCTTTAAACTGTTCTATATCTTTTGATACTGACTCTTTTGTTATACAAAATTGAGGCACGAGACGGATGATTGGCACAAGACATGAGTCATAGGGCCTTTATCATCTCCATCTACCATCTATAGCATGCACTGTCACTGAATCTCCAGCACTCCTTCATAATCGTTTGGGTCATCCCAATTTAGTAAAGCTTAAAAAGATGCATCTTAGTCTATATAATTTATCGTCTTTAAATTGTGAGACATGTCAGCTTGGAAAACATTCTCATAGCACCTTTCCAAAGCGTGTCAACTAACGGGTTGCATCCCATTTTGAGTTAGTTCATTCAGATGTGTGGGGACCTAGTATGTGTCATCTATTTTAGGTTTTCAGTACTTTGTTACCTTTATTGATGATTACTCACGCTGTACTTGGTTATTCCTAATGAAAACTTGTTCCGAGTTATTTTCCATCTTTGAATCTTTTTGTGCAGAAATTAAGACTTAATTTAATTATGTTATTCAAGTATTATGCAGTGATAATGCTCGCGAGTATTTCTCTGATCCCTTCACTAAATTCATGTATTCTCTCAAGGAATCCTTCATCAGTCCTCTTATGCTTATACCCCACAACAAAATGGGGTTGTTGAGTGTAAAAAGAGACATCTCATTGAAACTGCCCGTACCCTGCTTTTACATAATAAAGTCCCTTTTTGTTTTTGGGCCGACACTGTTTTGACCGCCTGTTTCTTAATAAATCGGATGCCCTCTTCTATCCTTAATGACAAGGTACCTTATTCCATTTTATTTCCTGATCAATCGTTGTATTCTATCCCTCCTCATGTCTTTGGGTGCACATGCTTTGTCCATGTTTTCCCTGTTGGTCAGGACAAATTGGCAGCTAAATCTACTAAGTGTATTTTCTTAGGATATTCACATCTTTAGAAAAGATATAAGTGTTATTCTCCATCAACACATCTCTATTTTCTCTCTGCTGATGTTACGTTTTAAGTTATCATCGTTTATCTTCATCATATTATGAATTTGTGTCCACACTTTCTTCTGTTTCTGTTCTTTCAAATGCTCATGAGGCACTCTCTGATCCCGGATGGCGTCAGGCAATGGTTGATGAGATGACTACTTTGCATCATAATCACACATGGGAGTTAGTTCCATTACATCCTGGACATTTGACTGTTGGGTGTTGCTGGATTTGTATGGTCAAAGTTGGTCCTGATGGTCAGGTTGATCACTTAAAGGCTCGATAAGTTGCCAAAGGCTACACTCTAATACATAGGATGGATTATTTTGATACTTTTTTCCCGGTTGCTAAGATGTCTTCTATCCGCTTATTCTTAGCAATGGCTGCTATTCAACATTGGTCTCTACATCAATTGGATATTGAGAATGCCTTTCTTCATGGTGAACTTCGAAAAGATATTTATATGGAGCAACCTCCAGGGTTTGTTGCTCATGGGGAGTCTTCCTTGGTATACAAACTTTGTCGTTCTCTGTATGGTTTGAAACAGTCTCCTTGTGTCTAGTTTGGATGATTCAGTACTGTTATCTAAGAGTTTGGTATGATTCGGTGTGAGTCTGATCATTTTGTCTTTTATAGACATACAACACCAGGGCAATGTATCTATCTGGTTGTCTATGTTGATGATATTGTCATTACAGGAAGTGCTCAAGATGGTATTGAACAATTGAAGAAGCATTTATTCAGACACTTTCAAACCAAAGATTTAGGACTTCTTAAATACTTCCTTGGTATGGAAATTGCTCAGTCCAAATCTAGTATTGTTATCTTTCAGAGAAAGTATGCACCAGATATTCTTGAAGAAACAGGAATGTCAGATTGCAAACCAATAGACTCTTCTATGGATCCTAATTTAAAACTCTCACTTGGACAGGAGGAGCCGCTGGCTGATCCTGGAAGATACCGAAGACTGGTTGGTAAACTTAATTATCTTACTATCACACGACTTGATATTTCATTTTCTGTTAGTGTTGTAAGTCAGTTCCTACAGTCTCCATGTGATAGTTATTGGGATGCAGTTATTCGGATTTTAAGGTATATAAAAGGTGCACCAAACAAAGGCTTGTTATACGAGAACAAGGGTAATTCACATATTGTTGGATATTTTAATGCTGATTGGGCAGGGTCTCCATCTGATAGATGTTCTACTTTGGGTTTTTGTGTTCTTATTGGAGGAAATCTAGTGTCTTGGAAAAGTAAGAAGCAAGCTGTTGTTGCCCGATCAAGCGTAGAAGCTGAATATCGTGCAATGGTCTTTGCTACTTGTGAGCTCATTTGGTTAAAGCAACTGATCCAAGAGTTGAAATTTGTAGAAGTGTCACAAATGAAGTTACTCTGTGATAATCAAACGGCTCTCCATATTGCCTCTAATCCAATATTTCATAAGAGGACTAAGCCGTAAGCACATAAAAATTTATTGTCATTTTATTCAGGAAAAAGTTCTATCTGGATGTATTACCACTAGTCATGTCAGTTCTAACGACCAGTTAGTAGACATTCTCATTAAATCTCTTAGGCGTCCGTGCATTGATTTTATCTGTAGCAAGCTTGGTGCATATGACTTATATGCTCCAACTTGAGGGGGAGTGTTGAATAGAGGTGGAACAAATGGGCCGGGTTAGGCGGGTCAACCATAACCCGGCCCGTAATGAAGAGGGTTGAAACCGCGGGTTGAGCCCAACCCGCCAACAACCCCCGGGAGGGCCGGGTTGCAAAATGGCAACCCGACAGCCCGCGAGTTGCTATTTTGTCCTCTCTACAAGAGGCCCGCCAACCCAGCGGGTTGCATGCGGGTTGGCCCGCCGGGTTGGCCGTTGACCCGCAGTTTGGCAACAGCCAGCCGGTCGGGTTGGCTGAAAAATAAATTAAAAAAAAAGTAAAATTAATTTATTTTTTTAAATTACCCTTTTACCCTTGAAATATAGTCGTTGGAGGGGTCTTTTTCATCATTTTCTTTCCCCATTTTTTCCATAAATTGGCCCTAAACTCTCATATTTTTCTCACAACTCAAATTCTCTCATTCTCTCATATTCTCTACTCTCTATTCTCTCAATTATTCATTTATTCTCTTAATCTTTTTGTTATCAATTTACTCTTATTTTAATTTTTATTAGTTTTTGCAATTTTCAATTCATATTTCCAATTTTCCAAATTCCAAATTCCATATTCCAATTCTCTTTCTTTAATTTTTAATTTTTCTAACACTCAATTTTTTTTCAACTACAATGGGTAGATATTTCTCTCCCATCAATTTCAAGGATGAAGAAAACTACTATCCTAGTCCTAGTCCCGCTGATTTTACTATGAATGGAGGAATTCAAATAGTCCCCTATCCCAATCCCAGTCTTAGAATCCTACCACCTCAAAATATGCCGTTGATTCCAACAGCTCCCAGGGTTCTAGAAGTCGTCCTCGTAATCGTCGTCCTCGTCCAACTCCATCTCAAGTTGAGACGGGTTCATCAACTGCCGTCGAAACCAAAGACAGGCACATTAGACGTTTGGGCGCATTTCGACAAGTTTTACAGACAGAAATGGCGTTCAAGTCAAGAAAGCATGCAAATATTGTGAAATGTTTATAAAGCGATTCGGTAATGTGTATTAGCACTTTAAAAAGGCATGCTAATAAACATATTAATCAACATGGAAATAGAGAAAGCAATCAAACTCAAATAATTAATATGGTACTACTTGGCGTTATAATTCTGATGTATATAGGGAACAGTTAGCTTTATATATTGCTGCAACTGATCAACCTATTAATATGGCTGAAGATAATATTTTGAAAGATTTGTTCAAAATTCATTTTTTCCAGGATTTAAAAGTTATTCTAAAACTGCAACTAGAAATGATTAATAAAATTGTTTAAAAAAATGAAATTAGAATTAAAAAATAAATTTCATACTTGTCATATTAGTGTGGCTCTAACTGCTGATATTTGAAATGGTAGAGCTAAACAAGATTATATTTGTGTGACTAGTCTTACTTTGATATGAATTTAAATTAAATAAATCTTTATTAGGATTTAGATTAATGGATGTGATCATAGTGGTTTAGAAATCTATAATAAAATGTGTGAAGTTTTAGAAGATTATGATATATTGATAAAGTGATAAGTTTAACTTTAGATAATGCAAGTTCTAATAGTAAAGCTATAGATTTTTTTCAAACTAATTATCCTTTATATAACATTTAAAGTTGTTTCACTAACGTTGTGCATGTCATATTATTAATTTAATGTGAAAAGTGGTATGAAACAATTAACAAAATATGGATAGAATTAGGGAATCTTTAACTTGGATTACTGTAGTAATAAAGAAATGCTGAATTTCAAGAAGCTTGTATAAAATCAAATATGTCTCCTAGAACTTTTGCATTAGATATGCATGTTAGATGGAATAGTACTTATTTAATGCTTGATTCATGTTTACCTTATGCTAATATAATTAGTTATTTGTAGCAAATAATAGAGGTCCTCATTATTTGATAGAAAATGATTGGAAGATAGCTAAAGTATTTCTTCTTTTCTCAAACGTTTTTACCAATCCACTTTACACTTTCTGGTGTGTATTATCCTACTAGTCCATTGGTAATACTTACAATTAATAAAATTTCCGAGTTATTTACAAAAACAAAGACAATGAAATTTTAAATGCACCAATAAAGGCAATGCAAATTTTTTTTTGAAATATTGGGAACCCATTCATTTTCTTTATTGTTTAGGTGCTATATTTGATCCTAAAATTAAATTAGCACGTTTAGAAATGGTTTTGACAATTTAAGTGAAAATTTACAAACCGTGTCAATCAAATAGGAGAGGTAAAAAGTAGTCTTTTCGAAGTATACTTCCAATATGAAAACAGGTTGGGAACCCGCAATCGCAAAGAGGTGAAATATCCAGAGAAGCTGTATCAGAAGAAACAACAATGAGACTTATACTCTGGAATGCACTATAGGCCGAAGAGGACCCGATATGAAGCACCACCTCCTCTTCAGAGCACCACCACCACCAACAACAACAACTAATATACTGTCCTCCATGGAGTTGCAGAGTAATGAACTTCAACAATATTTGACAACCCCCGAAATGTTCCAGCAGGTCACTTTGATATCTTAAAGTATTGGAGAGCCAAAAAATGTATTTTTCCGTTATTATAAAGACTTGCCTTGGATGTTTTCGTTTTTCCTGTCTCAACCGTCTCATCTGAACAAACATTTAGTGCAAGTGGAAGGATTTTAAATGAAAGGAGGACTAAACTGGCTCCAAAAATGATTGAAGTCCTCACATGTCTTCGAGATTGGGAACGATCGCGCCATCAAGATCAATACGAGGTTATCGACAATCTTTAGTAGAATCATTTCAATTTTGTAATATATATGATACAGATGAGGGAGGTCCTAGTGAACCACCCCCAAATAGTTGTTTTGTAAAATGTAATTTGTAAATTAATTGTCAATTATTGTACTCCTTTTTCTTTACCAAGTTTTTCTCCCATTGGGTTTTCTTAGTGAGGTTTTTAACGAGGCATAATTGTTGTAATTTCTTATTTTATTTTTTGATAAATGAATAAGTCTAATTTTTCTTATATTACAATTTTATTGTATTAAAATTGAATTAATATTTGAAATGTTAACAAAAAAAAAAAAAAAATTGAATTGAATTGAATTATTGATATTTGAAAAGTTAACTAAAAACAATTATATTTATAATTATTTATTTGAAAAGTTAAATTAAAAAATAAAAAAAAACAAAAAAAAATAAGAAAATCGGGCTAACCCGCCCGGACCGCCGCCTAACCGGCGGGTTAGGGTTGGCGTGCCGGGCTGGGCCAGCCATTTTCTCCATAATGGTGGGCCTAACCTGGCCTGCCTTTGTTGGCGGGCAGGTTAGGCCCGACCCGCCCTGCCAAACTACGTAACTCGTCGCGGGCCGGGCCGGCCAGGTTAATTTTCCACCTTTAGTGTTGAAGTGTATAATTCTATTAGGATATTAGGATTGTAATCAATATATATTAAGAACAAAATCTGTAAAATAGGAAGTTAGATTATTCATTTCCTAGATTAGATTATTTGTTTCCACGATTAGTTCTTTATTTTTCTATATATTGATGTACTATTTTCTGATCATTATACAAGATATAAACACACTATTAGTTCTCTCTGATTTTTCACAATTTCTGCGAGGTTAGCTATGTGATTTGAAGCGACATGCAACTTGACCAGCATGTCATCAACATAAACCTTTATTGACTTATCGATTTGCTTAGAAAACATATGGTTAACTAGATGTTGGTAGGTCACCCCAGTGTTTTTTAGACCAAAGGGCATGACTTTATAGTAGTACAATCTTCAATCTGTGATAAACGAAGTATGCTCCTCGTCAGACGTGTACATTAGGATTTGATTACACCCCAAGTAGGCATCCATGAAGCTTAACAGCTTGTGCCCGGAAGTGGCATTGACGAGTTGATCAATTCTGGGCAAAGGAAAATTGTCCTTCGGATAGACTTTGTTGAGATCCGTGAAATCAACATATGTTCACCATTTGCTGTTGGGTTTCTTCACCAAAACAAGATTGCCGACCCAACTCGGGTAATGAGCCTCTCGAATGAACCCGATTGAGAGGAGCTTATCCACCTCAACCATAAGAGCAGCATAACACTCTAGGTTCATGACTCTTCTTTTCTGGCGAACTAGTTTGACCTCACTGTCGATGTTGAGTGTATGACATATTACATTTGGGCTAATCTCGATCACGTTAGCATGAGTCTATACAAAAACATCTATATTCTATTTGAGGAAGCTCGTTAGATTGGTAGCGAGCTGAGTGCTGAGATTACTTCCGATTCTTAATACATGAGTCGGATCATTCTGGTCAACTGATACCTCAAATAGAGTCTTAACAGGTCCACTGTGGGAATACTCCCCCTGAACACGAGGATCTATGCTGTCTTCCACTGGATCTAGCTGTGGTTCGATCCTGCTGATCGTCATAGCCTGCTCAAGAACGCCCACTAGCCTCCCTTTCCTTTTGCATGTCATATGCACTGCTCTTACATAGTAGTCGCAAGATTCACGCTGAGACCCTTTGACCTCCCTACACCCCATTAGAGTGAGAAATTTCATCTTCAGATGATAGATGGAGGTGACAGCTTTGAAGTTCTGGAGTAGAGGTCGTCCCAATATGCCATTGAAAGTGGACAGACATTCTACCACTAAAAATTCTGTCATCTTAGTCACTTTTTGGGTCTTAACCAAAGTGATAGAAAGTGTAATCGTTCCCTTGGGAATCAGACGATCCCCTGTAAAGCCATAAAGAGGGATAGAGGCAGGCTTCAGATCTACCTCTTCTAATTGCATTTCCTCAAATGCTCATTGCAATAGGATGTTCACGGTGCTCCCATTATCCACCAATATTCTGTAAACTTTGCACCGACCTATTTTAGCCGCGATGTTGAGTGCATCCTCATGAGGGTGAAGCAATCGTACCGCATCTTTCTCTGAGAAAGTAATCTTCTCCTCTCTACACACCTTAGCAGGTCGTTACGCCGTGTTTAACACACTCATAGGGTCATGGTAAGCTTCTTGAGCGTACTTTTCCTGAGCACCTTGAGAATTCTCCGCAAGGTGTGACCCTCCAAATATAATTTCGATGAAATGAAGGCTTTTACGACCACGACACTTCTTCCCATCGTCCTCTTGATCCTTCTCCCGAATGGGAGTTGGACCATCAACATATTCCCTAAAGTGCCCCTTTTTAAAGAGGTCTTCAATAGCTTGCTTAAGAGCTTGACATTCATCAGTATGGTGCCTATTGTCCCAATGATAACAATAATATTTCTTGTTGTTTCTCATTGAAGAGGGATTTTTTATGGGCTCTGGCTCTCCGAGCGGATTAGCTTCTTCTAATTTATCCATAATAGTTGTTACCGATGCGTTCAATGGAGTATACTGATTCTTGTAACGAAGGAATTGGGCATAAGATTTCTTGGGCTTGAACTGCTATTTCTTTCCCTTTCTATGATTGTCATTAGCCCATTGGTGATCAGGCCTTCTAAGACTCTCTTCCTGATTTTCCTCCCTCTGACTAGGAGCATTGGTCGAAGGACCGAGGTCGTGACAATTCAAAGTAGCCACTGAATTTTCAATTCTAAGATATTTCTCAATGAGATTGTAGAAGCGGGCGAGGGAAATATCATTCTTGGATTGTAGTTTCTTCCACAGGTCGGTTTGTGGGCGAACTCCCCCAATAATAAGAGTTCGAACTGAATCTTCGGGTGTATTAGCCGCCTTATTCAGCTGCCTGTGGAACCTGTTGATATAGGATTGGAGGGATCCATTCCTCTCCTGTCATATGTTGCTCAGATAGTTCAACGACATTGAAAACTTCCTATTAGCCTAGAAGTGTCTCAAAAACAATAAACTTATCTGCTGCCATGAGTTGATAGATTCTAACGGAAGTGATCTAAACCAACGCTTAGCATGGGCAGTCAGAGTCACTACTAAGCAATGACATTTCGCTAAGTTGGAAACTTGGTGAAGCTCTATGAGGTCGTTAAACTCATAGAGATGATCCTGTGGATCAGAATTCCTATCGAATGCTTGCATATCAGGCATTCTAAATCTTAATGGGAGAGGAGCAGTCAAAACTGCTAGAGAAAAAAGAGACGCCTCAGTGACTGACCCTCGCTTATTCTGTTGAGTTCTAAGTTGATCCAGAGCTCACTGTAACTCCTATATTTGAGGAAGCAGAGCCACCTAGGGATCACTTTCTACAATGTGGGTTTGCTCATCACGATTGCAATTAAGGAAAGACTGTAGATCAAACTCTTCCTCGCCTTGGCCAAAGCCTTCGAAATACCTTGACACATGTTGACTAGAGTCATGTGAAGGCACTGAATGGCTGGGGGAGTTATCCCGACCTCCGCGGTGGTCAGAACTAACCCTCATTCGGTGGCTATTTCCTTCGTGGTGATGGTCGGAACCATCATTCTAGCAATAATGGGAATCTCCATGCCGTGCACTTTTGTGGGAGTGCCAATGCGATGTGATGTGAGACGGCTCATGATGTGACATACCGTCAAGTCACAAAGCCAAATGTATTCTACCTGCCTCACGACCGATATTCACTGGCCCTTTCGAGCCTTTGGCCCATTGTCAGCCACCTACTTTCCCTTATTTTTACGTGCTGTAGTGCGTGTGGTATGAGCTTTCGCACGTTTCCACACTTTAGCGTGACCTATAAGCATTTTTGAAGATGGTACCGCCTTGTCAGAATTGGGCGGTACGACCTGATCCAAACAATCTAACCTTTAGTTAACCGTTTGGAAAATATTATTAATTAAACCTTTCCAGGTAATTCATTACAGTTGGATCGAGCTAAGAGGTCAAGGGGATGTTCGCCGTGGTACCTTGAGGAATTGGAGGTACTTTGGGAGAATGAAGATCCTATACCCTGGGGATCTCCTCGTTGTTGACGCTAGTTTGCTCGGTTTCAAGACCACGAACCATTTGCTCACAAGTAGAACTAATTGATCAGAGATTCTAAATGAAGAGCAGATATAAAACCAGGCCCTCCTTCTAGCGTCAAATTGTTGATGTGTGATTTTGACACCAACAACTTACATGTGCAAAGTGCTAAGTTGTTCTTAGAAATTACATGTGAACTATTATAATCAGATATAAAGATTGAATAATAAATAAAAGATACGAATTTTAAAGTGGTTCGGATGCTTAAAGCGAATCCTACGTCCTCTATTTCTTTTATATATGAGAGATTACAAGAGGTCGCGTAAAGCAAACAGCGAATAGAGGTACAATAACTGATTATTTAGAGAGAATATCAAGTCAGTCTCTTTCTCGTAGGTTATCTTTGCTCTGAAAATAAAGATTACAATCAGAATGAGGGTTCAGTCTCAGAATCCCGACAATGAGAGGGGGAGTCCTCTATTAATAGTAGAGGAATTCAAGATAATGATTACAAATATGCAAATGGGTAGGTGTCATGCAAGTCCTTCCTTGTCTCCCATTGGCTGATAACTTAGGAAATATCCTCGAATTATCTAGGGCTTAGACAGGTGTGCGGTCCTCAGTCACTCATAGACAAAACCTGAATCTATTAATTTGACGATAACCATATTTTTTCTATTATGGAGCAACATGGCAGCTCCTAGATGACATAAAGTCATCCTGAACTCTAATTGGTGCTTATTGACATAAGCTAACATCAGCCCTATTTTTTAGGCATTACAAAGCAGTTTTAATTTTTCTGTTTAATTAATGGTTAATTATTTGATGATTAGATAATATAAATAAAATATAATTAACAAACCAAATAGTCGGTTGAAAAGGCCTATATATATATATAATTCCAAAATAAATAAAGAAATATATGTGTTGTGTCCAATTTTTTGGCGGTTAGTTTGTGCCACACATCCTTAAAATATATCAAAGCTTGGCGGCCAGGATCATCCCATGTGTCATCCTATCAACACTTACCTTCTCTCACAAGGTAATTACTATCATAAACATGGGTCAGGCTACTAGCATGGCCTGGTCTGTCACAAGCATGAAGATTATTGACTCAGATCCTGATTAAGGGGATTATGTTTGCAAACAATCTCGTTATACCCACTCTTAAGTCTTAACCACTGTTAGAAGAACCAAGTATAAAAGGAGCCCATAGCAGCATAGCCTTCGTTTCAAGGGACGATTCCAATTTTAGTAAAGCTCAAGAGGAAAATACACTTGTCTGTAGGGGCGGATCCAGAGTGCGTTAAGGGTGGGCCATGAATTTAAAAAAAAAAAAATTAAATATGTTATTCTATTTGGTTTGACTTTGGCCCACCCTTAATTTTTATTTTCAAATATTAAAAAATGTGGCACACTCTCAATTTTAGTACTAAAAGTCTTGGCCCATTTTCCATTTTAATACTAAAAAACTTGGCCCATCACCTATCTTCATTTTTTTAATAAAACTTGTAAGAGTAGAACCTTCCCTTGCAGTTACAATTTGCAAAACCCTCAGACTAGTAGTCGCTCTCCATAACTCCTCTGCTGCTCTCCCTAAATCTTCATAGTTTTTAGACTTCAACAAAATTCTATCAGCTATTTTCTCTCTGGTTAGTACTTTTTTTTTTTTTGTATAATGCTTTTATTTTAATTGTGTGTATTAGCATAATAGCATTGTGCATTGAATTTTTTATTGAGAAAGCTTTTAGGAAAAAAGGGAAAGTTTTTAGATTCTAATATTTTGTGATAGGTAAATGATTGTTTTGTGGTCCCAAAATTTGGAAGAAAAATAATATATAGATAATAGAAATATAGATAGAATCAAGGAGGCTTTTATTTTTATGTATTGTTTAAGTCTTTAAGACTTTAAGTTGATGATTGAAAAACTTGAAGTTGGAAAATTTAGAATTTCTATAGTTATTATAGAATTCAATTCGTGAGTTAAGTTATTTCTTTGTATTTAGATATGGAAAAATATTTTAAAAGAAAGTTAATTGCTGAGACATCTCAACTTTGTTCTGGTGTCAATGATAATGAAAACCAGCCTTCTTCAAAGAAAAATTGCTTCGAAGTTGACTTGGAAAATCTTCCTTTTGATCCTGGATTTCGACCAAGAATTACATTTTATCATCCTAATGTTCGAGACCAAGTTAGAATGCATTATCTACAAAAGGGTCCTTGTCAACCTCGCAACCATAAGTTTCCCAAATCAAAATATGGTGATCATGAACAAAGTTTCCAATGGTCTTGGTTTGACAAATATCCTTACTGGTTGGAATATAGTGTTGAGAATGATGTTGCATATTGTTTATGTTGTTATCTTCTCAAACTAGATAAAGTTAAGCAAAGTGGCGATGATTCTTTTTTCTTAATGGGTTTCATAATTGGAAGAGACTTGAAAATTTTAAATATCATATTGGAGGTCCTAACAACTATCATAACTAAGCTTTGAAAAATTGTCAAGCTTTGATGAACCAAAAGTAGCATGTGAGTACAATTATTAATAAGAAATCTGACCAATAGCGAGAAGATTATCGTATTCGGTTGAAAGGATCAATTTCTGCTAGTCGGCTTCCTCTTCGGCAAGGATTGCCTTTTCGTGGTCATGATGAGTCTGATGATTCAATGAATTGGGGAAACTTTCTTGAACTTTTACACTATACAATTGAGCAAAATGAAGAATATAGATTAGTAGCATTGGAGAATGCTCATGGACATGATAAATTGATTACTCCTAGTATCCAAAAAGACATAATCAATGCATTTGCAGTTGAAACCATCAACAAACTAATTAGTGATCTAGGAGATGCTTTGTTTTCTATATTAGTTGATGAAGCTCGTGATGGATCCAACAAAGAGCAGATGACAATTATCTTACGTTATGTAAATAAAAGAGGATGTGTTGTTGAGTGTCTATTGAGCATTATGCATGTCACAGATACGACTGCTTTGTCACTAAAGATGGGAATTGAAATATTGTTCTCTAAATACAATTTGAGCATATCAAGATTACATGGACAAGGTTATGATGGTGCGAGTAATTTGCGAGGTCAGTTTAATGGGTTAAATCCACTTATATTGAACAATAATGAATATGCCTTCTATGTTCATTATTTTGCTCACCAACTTCAATTGGCACTTGTAGCTGTGGCAAAAAAGGATACAAATATTGAGAGACTTTTTTTGAAAGTTTCTTGTGTGATAAATATTGTTGGATGGTCACCTAGACGTAGGGATCTTCTTAATGAGAAACAAGCTTTGAAGGTGAAAAAAGCTATTTAAAGTGGTGAGCTTTCAACAGGGCAAGGCCTTAATCAAGATACTAGTCTTAACCGGCCAGGGGAAACATGGTGGGGTTCACATTATGGTACTTTATTGAGGTTGATTAATTTGTTTTCATCTGTTATTGAAGTGCTTGAGGATCTTACTAAAAATTCTGATAACAGAGTTGAAGCAAGTGATTTGGCGGAATATATCACTTCTTTTGATTTTGCTTTTAACCTGCACATGATGAAAAACATTTTGGGAATCACATTTGAACTTTCACAAGCACTGCAAAGGAAGGATCAAGATATTATAAATGTTATGTCTTTGGTTCACTTGTCGAAAAGAAGATTATTGTTGATAAGAAATAATGGATGGGATAATCTACTTGATGAAGTTTCTCATTTTTGCATTGCTCATAATATAAAGGTGCCAAATATGGAAGAGAAATTTGTTGCACGAGGGAGATCACGGCATAATGTTCAAGAGATGACAAATTTATTTCATTATCGTGTTGAGTTGTTCCATGCCATAATAGATTTGCAACTATCAGAGCTTAACAGTCGTTTTAATGAAGGTAATACATAATTACTTATTTGCATGGGCTCCCTAAATCCAAGTGATTGCTTTCAAGCATTTGATAAGGGAAAATTAGTTCGTTTTTCCATTGTTTTAAAGCCCGGCCCGGCCCGGCCCGACCGGTTGAACCGGGACCCAGCAGCTTCAACGGGTCGAGTTTAACTTTTCCAATTCACCCCCAAACCCTAAGATTTGGGAGGATGATTGGCGAACAATCGACAGCCGAAAGGTAAGGGCTTTTGAAGACTAAGGTCCGGTGAATACAATGGTGGTGGCGTTGTTGATTTCCGGTGAGTAAATCGACCGAAAATCGAAGAAACCTGGCAACGGCAACAATGGGATTTTTCTGGCGAGGCTAACGGGGGTGGAGTGAGGTAGGTTTTGGTTGGGAGGAATAAGGGAGCAATTCCTGGGTGATGGGGAGGTTTGTAGGCGCCGACGTGGATGAGATCTGGCCTGGAATACCCACACCGGCGTCGGTGAGATCTGGCCAAAATCGAACCTATTTCGGCCAGATCTTGGGTAGATTTTAATGAAAATGGGCTCAGGGGAAGATTGGGGTTGCATCTGGGGTGTTGTTGCTGCCGATCAGTCGCCGATCGATTTTCAGTTGGGGTGTGTTTGAGAAAGTTCAAACATGTAGGGACTTAAAGGTAATTTTTTGGGGTGTATTTGTTGAGTTTTAAAATTTTTTGTCAACCGGCTTGACCGCTGGTTAAACCGGTCAACCTAGGACCCGAAAAATTTGCAGGGTTTCACCCCGGGTTGGGTTTTAAAACATTGCGTTTTGCTCAATTTTATCCACTTGAATTTTCTTCTACTGATCTTATGGCACTTGAACTTGAACTTGATAATTACATTGATGATATGTGCTCGGATAGTGATTTTTCATAACTAAATGATATTACCAGTCTTGCTCAGCAAATGGTTGAAAAGAAGAAGCATCTTATTTACTCATTAGTATATTTGATCATCACATTGGCTTTAACCTTACCAGTTGCAACTGCAAGTGTAGAAAGGGTATTTTCTGCTATGAAAATTGTGAAGACTCATTTACACAATCTGATGAGAGATCAATTCTTGAATGATAGCTTAATTCCTTATGTTGAGAAAGATATATTTGACAGTGTTGGTAAGGAGATGGTCATGCAACGATTCCTCAATATGAAGCCCTGCCGAGGACAATGGTAAATGTAATTTTTTTTTTCTTTTTGTGACAATATTGACTAGAAAAACAGAATATGAATGTTATATACAATTAGTTTTTATTTGGCCCACCCTAACATAAATTTTTGGATCCGCCCATGCTTGTCCGTGTAAGAGAGTGTTTAAAGAGAGAAGGTCACAAGAGCTAAATGTCTTCCATTTAGTTCATGCACACTTCCCTTGTAACTTCTCTTTGTCCTGTAGCATCTCTAAGCAACAACATAACAGTGGATATAGCTTGGTCTTTATACCGCTAAACCACTATAAAAAACTCTTTTGTTCTTTATTTTTTAATGTCGTTTTTATCGTCCTTGTTGGTTACCAATAACCATGTGCACGGCCCTTTCTGAGGTTGACTAGGTATCTTTGGTTTGTATGAAATTCACATCTGCAATATAAAAGCAGGATAAAATAATGCTAAATGAATCAAAATTATAGTTTCCCAGTAGTACATGTGTAAGCTTTGCGTATCTTATAAGCCTAAGAAATCGATTGAAAGACACATTGCAGAAACAAAATGTGGGGTCTCTTGTCATTGTTTGTCATTAATTGTTTTATATATATATGATAAGCTACCAAGGAATTCGTTAATAAATTTAGGGAATTTAAAAGGCTAATAATCGTCATGCTGAGATTCGGAGATTTGATATCTTGATTAGGTGTTGAATTAGACAATATACACCTAAACCTTATTATATAATGCTCTATGGCCTAGCTATTTGAGGAAAAAAAAAAAAAAAAAAACAGATAGAATATACAGTAGTTTCCTACTTCCCTTCATTAAGTTCAATGGAGTGGAAATTAACGATTTCAATTCTTCTTTATTTCTCATTATTGCACATGCATCTTGTTTGATGAATTAATTTATGAGTTAACGACATGTTCCCACCCAAAAAAAGGGTCCATTGAGACTTTCCCACCTTAGACTTTTAAAATACTCTTTACTATCCAAATAATATGTTTCCCTCTGCTTGGGTGGGAAATATAGTGATTTACGAAAGAACCCCTCTTCTTAGCCTCTTCCATTGCTTCTCTTCTTAGCCTCTTCCATTGTCAGCAATTGTCGCCAAAATACTAAAACAAAGATTCATCAATTGTATTTCAACCCAAAAAACATAAAAATTGAATGAATCAAACCCAATTAAAACTCGAAAAACCTTAAGGTGGGGAAGCTTCAATCGCCGACGATTGGTGAGCAAATGAGATTGGGAATGTTGGGGCTTTCAGAGATAAAGATCTAGGTAGTTGATTGGTGGTGGCAGGGGCGATTTCCGACACCAAAAGTGATCGAAAATCGGCTTGGAAGTTGAAAGGTCGTGCAACAATGAGCAAGGGACGATGATGGAGGTAAGGGTTTTGTGAGTGGATTGTGGGGAGTGTGATGGTGGTGTCTAGGAGAATTTATGGCAAAGAAATCGACTGGAAATCTGGCTTGAAGAGTTGGCCGTCCCTTTTTCTTTTCTTCTTCTCCGGCTGCCAATGTTTGTTGACCATTTTGCCCTCATTAATAATAGACTTTTGACCATTTTGCCCTTCCTCACAATGAAAATTACTAACAAAATTATGCTTTGGGTACTAAAAGGGTATTTAAAAAATGGGTGGTTTGTCAATGAGCCATTTTTTGGGTGGGAAAATGTCGTTAACTCATTAATTTATTGTTAGGGAAAAAAGAAGTGGGATAAAGCTGCTTTACACTAAAATTCACCAATTTATAAAAAAATAATGCTAGCCTTACTCACTCTCCCTACTCACTTCTCTTATTCACTTTTGTTAAAATGTTAGCCTTATCCACTTTTTCCCCTTTTTTCTAACAAAAGTGAGTAAGAGAAGTGAGTAAGGCTAGCATTACTCTTTATAAAAATTATTTGCCAGAACATTCAAGATATGAGTGTTTAAGTTCTAAATGTAGCTTTATATGGTGGTTAGTAACTAGTAAAATTCAATTTTTTTTCTACTTTCTATTCGGGATTAGAACAGTGAATAAATATTTAGAATTCTTTTAAAAAAATAAAAGAAAAAGAAAACGTCAAATAGATTTATATATTATTTAATTAATTATGATCTGAAAATAAATTTAAGATTAAAAAAAAATAATAATAATTCTCAATAATATAAAAAAAAAATTGAAAACAAGGAAAATGACATTTTTAGTTTTCTGATTTTATTTCAAGGTTAACTTTTTAAATTAATATGACATTCAATTACTTACTCAAAAGTTCCTTATATAAAGGATGGAACTACACATAACATAGGAGTCTTGTTCATGATTGGGGGTTACTAATGTGTATTTTTAAAGGGTGAACCTTTGCCGTTGGTTTTATTTTGGCGATAGTTATCTTGTGTATGTTTTGAAGATGATTTTGTATAAGTTTTTGTTTTTCATCTTAAGCTAGGGATTGTCTTGTGGTAGGATGTGTATTGAGAGATATTATTTTGTGTAACTGTTTTATCCTGGTTAGACTTTTGTTTTTGCTCTTATATATATATATATTTTTTTTTTTTCTCTTTCTATTTAAAGCTTAATTACTAAAAAAAAGAAAAAGAAAAAAAAAATCTAATCATAACATAACTTGATTTCAGACACTCTTACCTACGTGCAATGTTATTGTTACTTTGAGTAGTGATAAAATTTCGGCTTTCCGGCAAATATTAATTCCTAATCTTGGGTTTATGTTGTTGGCGAATGGCAAGCAGCAATGACTTTTGCACAAATATGAAGTCATAGTGATTCAAGCTTCCCTACTAGCGGCGAACTGCTGTGCTACGTACCCTCTGGAGTCTGGTCAGAACTATACACAATTATTTTTATCTTCATTGGTCGCGTATTTCTTCTTCTGCACGAATACATTTTCTAAAATTTACTTGAATTCAGGGATGTATCTCCATTGTTCTCGTAGTTATAGGGAATGTGATATTACATATAGTTAATGTCTTAGGAAATTTAAATTAAATCATTCCTTTTAACATTTAGTGGTAGATGTATATCACATTAAGAAGATATACATTCCTAAATATTGCACATGATAGAGCTACTACGTAAAAAAAAAAAAAAAAAAAAAAAAAAAATTATCTTCAAGAATTTTTATCTTCAAGAATTGTCTCTGGTCATTCATAGTCAGCATCGCAATTATGAGGAAGTAGAATTACTTGATGAACACAAAGGGGCCAAACAAAAGTGAGCATCTGGTTTGGTGGTTGAGGTCCTTCAGGATATATATAGACCAAATCCTTAA